GCAGAATCATACAGGAAGGGGCTTGCTGGGACGCAGTGAAATCATCTGCTCTGCTCCACAGCCCCAAGGCAGGCTTGGCTCTACCCTTGTCATTCCTAGCAGATGTTCTCCTGTTGTAAAGAGCTCCAGAGAAACAGACCAGGCCAGTGCGTTCTTGCCCTCAAAGTCAAATATTGGTTTCATTCCTATTGTCTAACCTGAATGTTTCTTCTGCACTTTAAATCTCTCTTCACTTTTGGCCACAGAGAGCAGATTGTTCTATGGTCTACAGATCTGTGACTCTATGGCTGAGGTAGGTTGAGCTTTGATGGGGGAGCTCTGGGACTTGCAGTGAGACTTGAGGGAGTGCAGAGCTCAGCTCTCTCCCCTCCTGTCACTGTGAAAAGAAGTTTGGGGGATTGCATTGGCCTGTGACCTGCACTCTTGCTGCCTCTGCTGCAGAAGCAGAACCTACCAGCAAATTTTGGCTGGTCATTTAGTCTCAGGAGTTCTCATGTGTATCATACAAAAGCTGTAAGTATTCATGGTAAGATCTTCCAAAATCTTGTGATGTAAGCCATGGCATCAAAATAACTACACAAAGAAGTATGAGTGGGAGTTATCTGTTAGACCTGAGGCCAGCTGCATGATGCCTCTGGTATATATAAATTGCTATTATGTGGCTTTTTACCAGCCTGGTCACCCCACTACTCACTGCTTAGTGTGGTGGGGTTTACAGGAGAGATCTTAAGTTGGATGAAGGATGATTTCATTTAGGTCTCAAAAGTGCCAAGTCCAGTGGGTGACTGTGAAACTTTAGGTCCTCTTAAATGGTCCTCTCTGCTGAGATTGAGTGCTTTTTATCACTTGAAGTGGTGCAAAATGACACGTATATTTTGTCGTTCTTGGTGTATTGCATCACTGATGCTGTGTGTTGCTTAAAACTGCCCTCTACAGGTTGTGTTCATTTTAGAGGACTTTGACAAGCAGTCTGGGTGATAAAATTATCTGTGGGGTAAAACCTGTTTTGGTGTGGGGGTTTTGTGTTTTGTTTTGTGGTGGATAGACAGCAGAAATACCTAGAGGCTGACTGCTGTGATCACTTGCTCTCTTTTACTGAAGGGGTGTTGAGGATAGTGAGTCTTCAATAAAAGCTGTAAAATGTCAATTGGTCATGTCTAGAGTGGTGCCAATTGAGGGGTGTGAAGGAATTGCTCTCCCTGTGCTTTTCAACAGTTCAGTGTTTCTTTGGGGTTTTTTTTTTAGCACTGGAAATATCACAATCCCCTGCTTGCTTCTGTACTCCTGCACTTAGGCACAGCATGACCTGACTTTTCCATTTTGAAAACAAGCATTTTTAAGATCATCTCACAAGTACCTTCCAGATGTCATGAAGGGAAGCACTTACACTTTTGTCATTTTAAAACAAACCAAAACAAGCTTCAACTGCCCCAAACTTGCAGCTACACCTAGAGCAGCTTTAACTCTCTTTTTGATGTGCAATATTTGATTTACAGAAAAAAACCCAGGCTTTCACTAATTTTTCTTTCATAGCAGCCACACCTGTGCTAAACATTTGCAGATGGCAGTCAGCCACAGCCTTTATTGAGCGAGTGTTTTGACAGCACAGTGAGCTTTGGTCTGTACCTGGGGCACAGTTTGAGCTGAATGTTCAGCCCAAGCCATGGTTTTTCCTCAGCCCCACTGGCTGCAGCACAAGGCTGAGGACCAGCTAATGCAAAGCACCCACCACTCCTGCCAGCCCTGGCTCTGTGGCTGGTCAGACCAGCTCTGGCTCTCTGCAGAGGGTAATGGGCAAGTTTCAAATGTGACTGTGTTAAGAACATTCTCACAGCTGAATTTCAGTGTGGGTTTTGTATTATGTTGTGCCTGTTTTATTCTGGTTGTGTTACTCTTTGCTCTCATGTTCCTGGGCTGCCTTACTCAGCGAAAAGGCAAATTTTTATTGTTTTAAGCTTCTGCAGGCTTAGGACTTTGATTTCAGCATGTGTATATGTAGTTGAAATGCTGTGTACAGGTTAAAAGGAGATTGATATTTCTAATTGTATTCCAGAGGAGAGCCGTAGAATAAAATGTTGTTCAGATAGCAGATTTGATTGCAGCTTTAGTTTTTCAGATTTCTCAGTCCAGAGTAGTTGTTGGCAGCAGTATTCTTGCTAATATTCTGTGTTGGATGCATACACATAAAAGAAACTAGAAATTGTACAGTGGTGCAGAACCTCCATAAGTGTTGTAGTGCTAACAGGGCTGTCAGGGCTGCTAAAAAAAGCCTCCTTAAGGGTACACAAATGCCTTTTGAAGGCTAACTTTAGGCATTATTGCTAAAGTTATCATTTCATACCTCCATATTATTTAGTCTCTCTCTAGAGATTAAAACACATATTCAACAGAGAAGTTATTTGGAAAATTATAGTAAATTTTTATTAGTACAGCTAGAAAGAAACACATGGGCTTGACTGTGTGGCATTGCTTCCATTTAGAGCTACAGCTGTGGTAGAAGCAATACCAACAAATGTTACTTTACAGTGAGGCTACACTTGTAAGAGAAACAGCATAACTGTGATCATAGCCATTATGGCAGCACACAGGGAAAGGCTTGATACAGTGGAAGGAGGAGCATGTTTGCCTAGTTCATGTGCGCACATTAAAAAAAAGCAGTATAAAAATAAATTTATAAAATTACAAATTTCAGCTTTACATGGAATGTTGTGTCAGACACAGTTGTGGGGAAGGACAAGACCCAACTGCTCCCTCCTAAAGCCATTTGGGATGGGGTTCAGCCTGTAATTTCTTCAGACTGATCCCATACTAAGGGGGCCAGACCATCTGTTTGAGCAGGACTCTCCCTCATTTCCTGGGAGGGACTGCTTGGAAACTGGTAGTAGGCCAAACCCAAAATGTGTAATTACATGTTATCATTTGGTAATGCTAATATCTACATGAATGATTATATGTACTCCGGTGCTTTACAAAATTCAGAGCTGCTAACCACTTCCATCTGGTGGAGAGAACTCAGACTGGGCTGTTCATGCCACAACAGCCCCTCTTTGGAAAACAGACCTGGCTGGAACCTGTGTGTCACCAGACATGTTAGATGGACAGCAGGGCCCTGGTCCACTTTCTCCCCAAGGAACACTTGGTAACTGGCTCCTGGACTTTGAGCTGTGCTGCCCTACAGCTGCAGAGATTCCAGCCCCAAAGAAAACCTGAAGTAAGGAACTGAGAGCTCCAGCCTCCATATCCTTGAGGCAAGGGCAACCTGCTTCATCTGTAATCTGCTTGCACTGCAAAGACATGGTCCCAGCTGCTTTCTCTCATGTATAGCTGGGGGAAGAAGAGTATTTATGTGTTATAGTAAAAAATGAAAATCCTTAAAATATTAAAATTTTTTACAAAAATAACAACCAAACCCAAACCTAGCAAAACCTAGAAGGGTTTTCTTTCTGAGCATGAAGCACTGATACAATAATCACTTAAATAGTTTCAGGATCCATAATGCAAATATTGAATATTTATTAATACTGATGTCTAGAGTGCTGCCTAGTGTGACTAATGTTCTAATGCTAGTCATGTTAAAGGAGAAGATAGGGAGACAGGAGGTAAACTTTCACTAAAGCAATAATCAGACCTATGTAGATGAGTTGCAACATGATAAATAGTACCTGAAATGTCAATGTGTTAGGTCTTTTAATGGGTGTTTCCACCTATGGCAGCCATGGTATTGACAAGGCCCTGCCATGTTGTCATGGGGGCATGCCAGAGGTAGCAGAGAGGGTAATTATTATGTGCCTTATAGACTGGATTCATAAAGGACTAGGCACAGCACTGAAAACACAATTTTTAAACCCGCTGTGCCCTGGTGGAATTCATCCTGTAATCCTCAGGTTCCTGACTCCTCCTACTCTGGTCTCCCAAAAGCTGAGATAGTGGTAAAACACTCTAGCACCATAAAGAGATGCTAAGCTCCATTATAATCTTTTCAACCAGACTCTTAAGAGTCAAGGCTTAGTCTCTTATTACTGCACAGAGCACTCCATGTCTGGCTACCAAGCACCTGAGCTGCTGAGATGTGGCTGTTTCCTGGACACATTAGGATATTGGAAGCTTCAGAAAATTAAGTGGTAGAAACTGTCCAAAGAGACTGAATAATCAATTTTTTGTCTTGGCTGCCTCAAGTGGTAATTATGGGTCCGTTGGGCTACTGGTTCCTCCATTGCTCCAGAGAGATGCCCAAGCTGGCTCTGAGAACAGAAGCTGTGGAGTCAGGACATTACAGGGTTATACCCATGAGTTAACCAACCTGAGGTACAGAATGCATTACCTCAGGCACATGAGGAGCATATGGCTGCACTTCTTTGGAGACCTGCACGTGTGCTTTATATGCCCTGTGCCACGTGGATGTACAAACCCATTGATCTCTTCCACACCCTCCAGCATGTGGTACAGCCGTGTCTAGTAGTGCCCTTGTGAATATATGTCCTGCAGTGCCATGTGAGTGCACAGAGTTCCTTCTTCATGCCAAGAAGTTAGTGAAAATCACAATCCTGTGCCATGTGCTGTAGGATGGCCCTGCTTGAGTAGGGAGGTTGGACCAGGTGACCCACTGTGATTCTGTAAAAATAATGTGCTAGTCATTGAATAGTATTAAAATAGGTTATTTAAAAAGGTTTTTCTAGTCTTGTGCTACTGCTTAGTTTTAATAGCTGAAAGGCAGAAAGTGGCTGATTCTTTTCTTTTAAGTCTTTTGCTGTGTTTGGAATAGCACCACAACACAGTTAAAAGAAAAGTCAAAAGGAGTATTAATTCTACCCCAAAGTATATTCACAAGCAGAGGGTTTACCATTAACATACACTGCATATTCCATAGCTCCACAACAGCAATACATAGAGCTGAGCTTGAAACTCCTTTTCATAGAGTTTCTGGACTGCAAAACCTTCAGTGTTGAAGAGCTGATTCTTTTTTTTTTTTCATCTGTCAACACAGTTCTTACCATCTGGAGCTAGTTTAGCAGAAAGGTGTGGATGTATATTTGTCTTTCAATCCAGTCAATAAAATGTGACACATTGCTGTAAACTCCAGGTCCCAAAACCTTGGAAAAGCAGACAGAGCCCCAAGATGTCAGACCAAACAGAGTCCAGCGTCCTGCAGGTTGCTCACACACAAGTGGTCCTCCACTGTCACCCTGTAAAAGGAAAGAAAAAGACAGTCTATAGAGGCTACATGTGGCCAGCTGTTATGGTTACAGCTATGTCACAGTTCCTAGGGCCATTTGCCTTTGAAAGTAACTCAGCTGTTAAATCCAGCTGCTCTGCTAGCTATGTAGCAGCACACAGCATTACCAGTATTTATTGCCCGTTACATTTGTACAAAAAATTACCTGCAAAAGGCTCATACAAATTAAAACCAATATTATTCCAATAGTTAACTAATACAGATAAACTTTAGTGTCTTCAAGCAGCTTTTCATTATCATGGTTTGCATCAATAATAATAACAATAGTAATAATAATAAAAGTTGTGTTAAAGTATGTAAATAGATGGTTGTCATTCCTATGACAACCTAGCCCAATCACAGTACTCTGATTTCTAAAAGCCCCTTTGGATGTGAGAAGCTTAGAGGGAAACCTACCATGCAAGAGTCCACAGTGCCAGACTCATAGCCAGCACAGAGCATCCTGCTGGTGATGGTTTTCATGTCAAAGTATGACTGGCATTGTTCTAAGGAAATGATGCGAACCTCTCCTTCTTGAAGCTTGAAAGGCACTGAAAAACAGAATTAAGTATTAAACTATATACAAATGCACAAATACTTAGTTCTGGTGGATCTTTGAGATATGACAAACATTTCCATAAGGGTAAATTATAAATATTGCTCTCTCTATATATGTAGATATTAAATCTAAGGCAAGAAGAATGTCCCTTTAGCACAGGGCCAAGGTGAAAGCTGATGGGTTTTTTGCACTGCTGCATTTGTAATGATTCATGACTGTCATGCTCCTGTGCCTGGAGTGTATGTGTTGCATTCTGGAGAAGGACTAAGCACATGGGTTCAGGTGTGACATTTGCTGTTTATTGAGCATCCACACCTTGACATGATGTGGTGTGGAACTTTTAAAATGAGTGCAGCAGTGGCTGGAAAACAGCAATGTGAGGCAGGTGGAGGAGAGGTTTGATTCATTGTTCTGTGGCAGGCTCTCCCTGTTTCTGTATGTTTTCATGGTAAAACTTGGTAGATACCATCACAGTCATTTTGAGCTGTGTTTAGGTAAATTACAGAGTGTATCAGGGAATCAGAATTTGAAGCTTACTGAAATTATTGTAGCATGTTCAGGAGATAATAAAGGACTTCTCCCTAGTCTAAACAGCTGGCTGAGCTCAAACTCTAAGGGAAGTTGTTCAACCCAAAGCATGCAGTACTAAATGCTGTGTAGCTGTGATGGTTTTTGATGCTTCCTAACATAAAACCTTTAAGAGCAAACACTGACCACATTAGAGAACAAAGAACCTTCTTCCATTTACCAGTGCTGCAAAAGCATTTTGTCAGGTTTTTCCTCTACCATTACATAAAGATATTTTCAGATGGGTAGAGCTTCTAGTAAACAGCCTATCCCTCCTGTGTGCAATTTGATTTTTACCACATCTGACCTGCTCGCTACATCTGAAGTCCCCCCTGAAGCAATATGGAAAGGAAAATTTCCTTCTCCAGTGTACAGAAGGGCCGTGCCTAGTAGTTACTATAATAATAGCAAAGGGAGAAATACAATGACTAGTGCATGAACAGGAATGGGGCCAGGATAATTTGCATATGATTCATGCAGAATCATTTTGCCTAAACAACGATCTACATAACACAACAGTTCTTGTTGTGTCACCCTGGGATTGCAGTGGCCAGAGAACAAGAAAACACACTAATGTTCTGCTCAGAGATACGTAAACACTTGTGATTATGGAATAAATGGCATTACAAGTCCAAAGTGTGATGCAGAGAGCTGATTCAAGAACCTGTTCCCTTCAGCCTGTAAGCCAATGCTTTCAGTGCCTTCTACCTCTGTGCAGCTAAGAATGTTTCCCCTCCACTCATGATCTGATATCTTTACAATACTGTTCTGAATACAACCTAGACAAGTAAAATGATTAACTAAGTTGGGTGACTTTCTTGATAGGAATTTCTAGATCCTTAACATTTGCAAAAATCAAGCCACTTGTCTAAATTAAGGAGCAGAAAATCAGGCTCTTGCTTTGAAAAAGCTATGCTTTAGTCACAACTCAATCCCTTCAAAAGTAGTTACAGTTCTCTAGGATTTAATGACCCAATAATAGTATAAATTGATAAAGGTTTGTAACAGAATTACTTATTTGATTAACTCAGTGGAGGATTCACATGTTTATCCAAGAATCCCAGACATAGTCACTTACTTTTGTTGCCCATGTGTCCCCAGCCTGTGATGTAGCAATAGGTGTCTGGCTGAACCAACTGGTCCTTGCTGGGCAAACAGACAGGTCTTACATAGCTTGTCTCATTGATGTCCTTGTCTAGTTCCACGATGCTGATATCATAGTCTACAACTGCCCTGTTGTAGCGTGGATGGAGGATGATGGTCTTCACTAGTCGGGTCTGCATGAAACTTGATGGATGATCAAGATTGCTAATCCCAAACACTACTTTCCAAACATGTGCATTTTCTCTCCTTTGTAAGAAAAAAAAAATTGAAAATTCAATCAAGATCTTTCTTTTAAGCTAAAATACCCAACAATATTTTTCTCCCTTTTTGCACACTGCACTTTGTAAAGCCTTGCACATAGAACTACTACAAGGAAAAACAAATAGTTAGGTATCATTCCTTACAGCTAAGATCTGACCAACAAAAGACAATGCTTTCCATTTCCTTCCAAGGAAGGAAACCTTTCTAACCAAAAGCATTGAGGTTCACTCCATCAGAAGGTATGTAACTATCTATTTAACTGCTGTATTAAAGGCTCTCAAAAATCACCCCTCGGAGCTTGCCCAAGTCTTAGTTGCTCACATGCTCACTAGTGGGCACATACAAATTTTGGTGGGGTGAGAATATTGTTCAGTAGTCTGCTGCTGACAGCACTAAGTCCAGCTGAAATCCCTAAGGGGTCTCAAAGAAGCAATTCTATTACGTAAATTAAGTCTTTTATGATAGCCATGGGAAAAGTCCCTTATTTATTGGACATTCAAGTCTGTGCCAAGCATATTTTCTATGCATAAGATCAAAAGTTATTTTGACTCTTACAATTGTTCAAGACTCTTTTGGTAAATATACAAGACCACAAAGCAATGCTTGCATATGATACAAGTGGGAAGACTGAACTAATTTCTCTTGAGACAAATGAGAAAAACAGATTTTATGAAAAGCTTCAAGGGCGTAATCTCTTGATCCTAACTGGTCACAGGATAAGTAGTGGGTTCCTAATTAGTCTTCATGGGTTGCTAATTAGTTTGGTTGCTAAATAAAGGCTATTTTTATCTTTAGAGCTGGATGAAAACCCTGATATTTCAGGCTATAATGATCATTTTACCATCGTGATCAGCTTCCCAGCTTTTCCATAAAGTTACAGAGATTAAACACTAAGGCTATTCATATGCTATTATGTTTATGACCACTGTGAAAAAGCATTGCCTAGAACAATGAGAAGTCACAGCCAGAATATAATGTCCTACAGTCAGGAAAAAACCTTAATGTCTTGGATGCTTTGGTGCAATGCATTTCAAAACAATCTTGACAAAACTCTGGGGACTATAATAATAATAATAGCAAAGGACACAATGTTTAATGTCGCTCTCTCCATTTATGCCCCCTACAGTATTCAAGGCTATTTGCATTAATACTTTCAGCTGTATTATTGTTACATAGTCCTCATGTTTTGTATTCCAAACTTCACAGGAAATTCATGAAATACTTCACAAAAATGGAACATTTTGTATAGAGTACCAGAGCACTTTAAAATTTTTTGTAATCGTTGGATTATCTGGTTGGTTTGGAAAATTTTAAATACTTTATATTAGGAAAGCTTTGTGGTGTCAAGAATGATCTTGCTGTTGGTATATTAAGCTTACAAATGGCTTCTCACAAAAGAGGATTTTAAAGATTTCAGGCTCCTGGGAACATACCCTCAAATATATTCAGAAAGGCAGAAGGGGAAAAAAGTTTATATAACTCCTCAATGAATTATTAAACCAGAATATCTTAATTGTCTTTAGAATACAAATGTGAAAGAAACCATTTACAACTAATACTCTGAGCTCACATAGATATTATATAGCTCTAAATGAGGGGTAAAATAAACAGCTCCAAAATGCATTGACATGAGGAAAACGAGAGAATTTTTACTTTATAATTTGACAGCTTCTTTGCTTAGCTTTCACTAATGACAGAAATCTCTTATCTGGGAAATCAAGTAGCAATCCAATATTGCTGAAGGATTAACCTCTATTCCATCCTTTATTTTAGATCACCAGAAAATGTTCTTCGAAAGGTATCATAGTACCTTAAGGGGTTGGAATGGACCTTAGACACCATCTAGTCCCTGGGCAGGGACACCTCCTCACCAGATCAGGTTGCTCAAGGCTTTATCCAACCTGGCTTTGAACATTGCCAGGGCTGGGGCATCCACAACCTCCTGGGGCAACCTGCTCCAGTGTCTCACCACCCTCACATTAAGAAAACGTCTTCCTAATATCCAATCTAAATTTCCTCTCTTTCAATTTATACCCGTTACTCCTTGTCCTGTCACTACAGTTCCTAACAGAGAGTCCCTCTCCGGATCCCTTGTAAGTCCCCTTCAGATATTAAAAAGTTGCTATGAGGTCCCTACACAACCTTCTCCTCTCTAGACTGAACAGCACCAACTTTCTCAGCCTGTCTTCATAGAGAAAGTGCTCTGGTCCTCGTATCAGCTTCATGGCCTCCTCTGGACTTGTTCCAACAGTTCCATGTCCTTCCTTACGTATGCAGTACCCTAGGTGGGGGTCTCACAAGAGCAGAGTAGAGGGGGAGGATCACCTCCTGGCCACACTCCTTTTGATGCAGCCTAGGATTTGGTTGGCTTTCTGGGCTGTGAGTGCACACTGCAGCTCACAGTTGAGTTTTTCACCAACCCCTAAGTCCTTCTCCACAAGGCTGCTCTCAATCACTTCTCTGCCCTGCCTATAGGTGTGCCTGGGATTGCTATGATCAATATGTTTGTATTACTAGCACTCTGTTAGTTTAGAAGGAAGATTATGTAGGTCACTGGTTTAAGTTTAAGGTTATTACTTTTCTTCTGTTTGAATGTAATCAGCTCTTGAACATCCTTAGGTCTTGATACGATGTGTAAACTGAGGCCTCTCCAATGTCATATTCTCTGGCATTTCCATTAATATGGTGGCTCATACTTTGAGATACTCACACTATCACCTACCTGACATCTTGAACACAAAAGTCACAAAGCTCAACAAATACCAAAAACCCCACTGTTTCAGAAATAAAAAGACAAAATTTAAATTGTTACCAAAAAGGAGTATGACTATTGTTATAAAGAAATATCAGTTGAGAGAATCTTGCTTAACATAGAATTTCTGCTGGCTTGAACGCAAAGAAAGGTGTTTAGTGTATCTAAAATGATTTGCAATGAGCAAGTACCAGTTTAAGCAGCATTAAGTACTGATGACAACCATGTACCAGAAAAGTACTTGCTAACTACAGCAGAAAACACTTGTTTAAACTTTCTTTAGAAACCCAATTAAAAAATTTTGGTACGAGACAAAAGAAATGAGATAATTAACTTCCCTCCAAAATCTGTGGTTCATTAAAAAGAAATGTTGGTTAGCACCACAGTGATCAAAACAATTCCTAAGACATGTAAATATCCTCTGTACTCCAGACTATCTGTCCACCACAGGGCCTGAGATGCTAGGAGGCACTGAGTTGTTGTTAATGCCAACTTGTTAATGACTGCAATCCTAGTAAAGGAATGGGTTGTTTATAAATAGAAAAGGCAGTGATTTGAGTATGCCAGTTGCACTGTGAGTAAATACTCAGTTTTTATTTTTACCAATGGCTACAGCATTTTTCCAGGGTCTTTTCTATGCTTGTGCCCAGTATTTATTATTTTTTTTAAACCCATGGCAGTTGTATGAGAGCTATAG